ACCTAGTCACCCAAAAAGTCAACTCCTTAATGACATTGCTAAATCCTATTTGGTCCTGGATGCCATTTCACCCTTTCACATCCAGAGAAAACACTCGCCTATTACAAAGATATTTTGCTTCATCATCAATCAATCCTGATCAAACCAATCCAAGATCGCACTTATGCTTATAAGATTCTGTACCATCCATCTACATTCACAACAATCGTTTCCTTAGCTGAATGGGGTTCCCCTTATCAGCTTCGAGATTTACCCGGCCATTCCATTCAGTATAATTACCATGATTATATTGATGCCTGGTTCAAGATTTTCTTGTACCAGAATGAAACCTTTAGTCATTCTTGGTTCATTTCATTTGATCAAAAATTCAAATCTGAATTACCTTCCTGGTTTCTGAGATGGTGACTCATTATGGTGCCATTTCAGACATCCTCCCTGATAACCTTCTTGATCTAACAACTATTTTGCTACTGTTACCCATTCACCACTCATGCAGAGATCATTCCCACTATTGTTAATTTTTATGCCAAGTATATAAATCCCTTGGATATTCAAATCGCATTATGGGATTGATGTAACATAATTATCGACATCACTCAGTCAAATGGTGGGCTAAATTCAATTTGCCCCGCATATTTGAAATTTTATGAAGAATCCCACTTGATCAATGGCTCAACTCCTGCCATTGCTAAGCCACTGCCAGAACCCAACTGCTGCAATTACCAAAGGAAGTCAGTCCAGTCTTCTCCAGTCAATCTTGGAAAAAAAAGCCCCATCCAGTGGTTCCAGCCCAAACATCAATCAAAGTCCAAAGCTGTTGCTGCTCTCAACCACCCAAATCAAAAGCCCAAAATCAAAATCGAAGTCCAGTCCAAGCCTATCCACTCCGGTTCAGAACAAAGGACAAACCCAGAAGTAAAATCCAAGACAGCTAAAGCAGATATGGATCCAATTGGCCCCAGAGACTTTTGGATCAAGGCTAAAACTCAATCTCTCACAGTTCAGAAGAAAGTTCAGAACTTCAGACAAAGTTCATCTTCTGAGATAATCAACTAATCAGTATTCGGACCAGAGTTCAAGAGCCCAAGACCCGTTTGCCTAGGATTCCATATTCCATACAATTAGCTTCAATCAATTACTGCTTTGAGAAAAGCTGCTAATTTGTATTTAATATTGATTCCTTTATTCACATGTTCCCCGAAAGTGATGAAATGTAAAAAGTTACTGTTCACTCTTTTACTGTTCACCGTCACTTATTCAAACCAATCAACTTTTGCTAAAGGCCTGATCAATTGTGCAATCACTCCACCGAACAGCAACCGACAGCATCTAACTTATGTTCCCAATGCTCTGCCAGCTGCTTTCAATCAGTCACATATCACTGGTTTTAACTTTTATTCTTTATAATGTAATCAATTGTAGACTCAGGCATTCGTACAATTTTTTCTCCCCTTCAATTGTTGTAAGAAAACGCAGAGTGTGGATGTGCATTTCAAAGGATCTCCCCTTGTACCTAGTTAAGATCCTTGCAGTTGCAGTTCTTGTAATTTGTAGTTAATTTCATGATTTAAATGTTTTAATTAAATGTTTTAATTAAATGTATTTTTATGAAATAATTAAATGTTTTTAGTTTAAATGTATTTTATGAAAATAGCGTTGAATTGTTGTGCATTTTGATTCTGTAATCCTCATCCTTCATGTATGTGCTGGCTCCGCCTTCATATATGTGCCTGCTTCGCCTTTTGGTTTTAATCACAACTTCCTAAAGACCACACTTTAATAAAACTTAAAGGTGTGATTAAAAAAAACATACATACAACCAAAAAGTGTGATCTTATCTATATTGTAGTTAGTGTTTAAAAAAAATTCATTAACTACAAAAAAATATATATTTTAACAAAAAATAATTTTTTTTGATGACGACAACCCCATCGCAAAAAAAAAAAAAATTAAACGACATTATTTTATTATTTAAATTTTATTTTTGACAAAAAAAATATTATTTTTTATTCCCGCCCCTTTTTGTTTTCCATTCCCCCTCCCCTCCCCACCCTTTTTTTTTTCTATTCCCGCTCGGCGGAGGAGCAGCCGAAAGGGCAAACGAGCCCTAGCAGTCACTTGAACCAGTCCAAACCCAAACCATGGATCAAACTCTCATCCTTCTCCGCCCATAATACGCCCTCCCTCCCTCTCCCCTCAAACCCCAAATCTAGGGCTATACACAATCACCACAATTCTTTACATACATATTGACGATGATGGTGTTTGCTCGTAGCATGTGGTTGCTGGGGTTAATTTACTTTCTGGGGTTAGGTTTAGTGTTTGGTTTGAATTTTGGGAAATCTCTGAAGGCACCCTTCAGAGTCAACGATGTCCTTCCAGCTCTTCCTCGGCAGATTTCGTGGCCTGTGCTCAACAATCTCCACAGCGCCGTTGACTTGTTGCCGTCGTTCGTCGGATCGGTCTCCCCTACCAATGGGTCGATTGAGTGGAAAGGGGCTTGCTTTTTCGATAACAAAGCTCGGCTTGAGTTCACCGGCGGTGATCGGGGTTTGGGCGGCGGTGTTCTTCACATCAAGGTTCGCTCTTTTTATCACTTGTATGCATGTGTATGATTGATTTGATTTGAATTGTGAGAATTGTTGAACTAGAGTAACTAGTTATGATTATGTTTACAATTGCTCCATAGGCAATGTCATTTTGGGTTTGGATTGTATTGGAGAGCTTTTGAATAGTATAAATGGTAGAACAGAATTTTGGCTACTGTTATCAGATTAATTTTTTTTAATAAATAATCTATAAACATAATTGAACAAAAATCAATTAGTTAGATAATCCGAGTGGAACTGTGGTGAGCCCCGCAAGACCCAACAACACCTGCACCTCCAACTCACAAAGAAGCCAGTGTCCTCCCTTCATCGGCCAAAGGTGTGACGATGCCATTGGCCCGAGATGCGCCTCGGACTGGACTTGCTTGCCCACAGGTTGTCGATGCCAATGGCTCAGATTATGTCATGTGCTCAATTGAGCTCTCAAAAAAAAAAAAAAATGTTGTTCCACTGATATAAAAAAATTGATCGGTGACTTCTGCCCTCCCTTTGCCCGTCTGGGCAACCCCCTTCGCCTTCCCTCACCAACTGCAATCCCACTGCACCACATGATTTTTTCTTTTTTGGTGGGTGAGATTTATATAAAACAGGAAGAGTAGGGAATCAACCAAAAAAATTAAAAAATATGTTATAAGGCTAATGATGTGTAAAGGTTATAAGAGATCAAACTTAAACAAAATAAATGTTATAAAACCAATGATATGTAAAGGTTATGAGAGATCAACCAATTTTAATTTTTGGTCATTATCTTTAATTATTTTATTTTTGGTTCATTTGTTGATGAATTTTCAGTGTGTTGAAGTTTTAGGCAAAATAGAAGAATTGGAGCTGAAAGTTGTCTTTTGTGTGTAGGAAATCTACTCTTTCTATCTGTCTTCTTTGAAAGTCTATATTTGAATTTGGGTCCCTTATTTCTAGTGCGTATGAGTGAATCTAGAATCTTTTTTCAATTTACTGCTTCAGTTTAATGCTGTCTTTATAACTCTACAATCATTTAGAAATCGATCTTTGTTTGCAAGACTCATTCTTTTCTTTTTGAACAATCTTATGTTCTTACATCTGTTTTTATTTTCTTTCCCCTGATTGCGTGACCTTTATCATTTGCAACTAACAGTTGCACGCAAATTGATATAACTAGAGGGCACCATGCGTCTTGTAGCCCAATTGGTACATAAATGCTACACCCAAAGTAAAATGGGTGTTTCGAGCCTCACTAATTGATACGTAGTTTAATGTGATGTATGATGCTCGTAATAACGATGCGAAGAAAGGACATGAAAAGCTTGAGGGAAAATGTGCTTTTTATTGTTGAATTACATTAGATCCAACACAATTTTGCTGTTTAGTGTAATCACTGTTTGGTCAGTGGTGGGGTTTGAGTTTTTGTTCATAAATTTGTTTACTACGAAATGTGAACTGATTGAGGTTAACCATTGTCTTCAAGTCCATGTCTAACTCGACCATCACCACCATAATTATTGTTGTCAGCTATAATCCTCCTCAAAATAATATTTGTAAGTCATAACTCAGTCTCATTCTCTCTTATAGGCTGAGTTGATATAGTTGTGGTAGACTAGTAGTAATTTAAACAAGAATTTTGTCAGCTGGAAATTATATTCTTTTTATTGCTGTTAAAAAAAGGAAAATACAGGGTGTTTCATTGGGAGTATGTGCAATAAAAAATTTTCAGTATGAATGAATATGGGATAAATGTATGGAAACTTCGAAATGATACACCAAATTTTCTCCTTTTATTTAGTATAGTATAGATGTACATATTAATGTTCTTTTTCTTTTTATGTTTAGTTGTTTAATTGGTTTGGTACTTTGATTTCTCTTTGTACAGCTGTTGAGTATCTTTAGAATTAGATTCAGAACAAGACTGCACTGCTATGTTGATGGAATAAGTTAAAAAAAATTTACCTTGTTCTGTGAAGTTTAAAATTTGTTGAGACCCATTACATATCATTTTGGCTACATCAGTTTGATTTATTTATATTTATTTATTTTTTAAATTTAAGAATTTGACTATAAAACAACCACCACATAACTATACTAATAAATAAAAATTCAGACTATAAAACAATCACCACATCCTCGTAGACAACAGGTAACATCAGATCATTAAGCACCAGCAAAATGGCAAGCAACAGCAGACAACAAGCTTCAGCAAGAAGGTAACAACAACAACAGCAGCAGTAGCCAGTAGCACAGAACCTAATTTTGGAGAAGCTATGAGTATGGAAGGTGTCACTGCCATATTTTGGTGTTTCTATTGAAGAATATGTGACTAATTTAATGGGCCGACCGTTTTGTTTCTTAATAATACTGATATCTACCACACCGACTTTGGTTAAATGATAAATTTGATTTTGTTTGGAAGTAGGTTAGTTGAAAAGACCACACAGCCGAACAGTGAGAAAATGCAGAAAGAAACTGAAGTCCAGAAACTTATGGAAGAAAATGTGAGGTTGACCGCTCTACTTGACAAAAAAGAGGCCCAGCTCTTGGCCATGAACGAACAATGCAAGGTGATGGCCTTGAGCGCTTTGAATATTTAGTTTGGTAGTAGGGTCTTGATTGCATGTTGCCTTAATGTGTTTTCTGCTCGGCCCACTTGCTGACCTTCATTGGGAGTCGGCAAATAATATTGGGCAAAAAAATCTGCTTTCTTGAATGTACCATTGATTTCCAACTTAACCTTCACATGTATCAATCAACTGAGTTGTTCTTAATTTGTTAGAATCTCACACTAATAAATTAATATAACCAATATTTGTTTACACACATAAATGTTATGTCCAGGTTCCAGTGGATTTTGTCATTGACAATTCTGTTCAGGTTGATGTGGCAGGAAGTGAATGCAATGCAGGCAAATATGGGGCTTGAATTTCAGAGAAACAAGGAGAGGTTTGTTTTTCTGAAGTGGGGTTCCAATGTTTTTCACAATATGCTCATTGTTCCTCCTGGTTCTGGTATTGTCCACCAGGTAAGAATTTGGCATCATTAGTGCATCAAGGGTATTTCTATATCTAGATGTTATACTGTTGTTAAAGGAAAATTCTCATGGCAAGGTGCAATAATTTGCCCTTAAGGTGGTATGAATGGTTTACTCTTAAAAGGGCCAAAACATTAGATAGGTATAGGCTCAATACATGAGGTTTGCAATGTTTAACTATTTATGGGGCTTCCAGAGTAAAGCCACATTTACCTCTAGCCTCTTGTAAATCATAGTCCAAATTTTCTCATTTTTTTAGCACTATAATATTATTTGGTAGGTTTGGCATTTAGCAAGTGACTCTGGTAATTTTCAAGTTAATCTTGAATACCTTGGATGGGTTATTTTCTACACAAATGGCATTCTATACCCTGATAGCGTGGTTGGAATTGATTCCCATACAAATATGATTGCTGGCTTAGGAGTTGTTGGCTGGGGAGTTGGAGGAATTGAATCTGAGGCTACAATGCTTCGCTAGATATTTTGAGATAATAATGTATTTTCTTTATGATTTTCTATACGCTTGTGCCAATTGTTAGTGTTTGCAGTTATTCTTTGGTAGATAGACATGCATGAAATGGGTAGCTATTTTTTCTTCTTTTTCCTCCAAAGGTGCAAAAGAAAATGCAGTTTCTGCTTCTTCAAAACCTGCTGCTGGTGCTGGTGATAGTAACTGCAATGTATCTCCCCCCCCCCCAAAAAAAAGAGTAAATTCTTGAGTTTTTATTTATTTATTTATGGGTACCTAGAATTATACTGGTCTTCATAAAGGTCCAGTACATTTTAATTGTTTTCCTGATTTTACACTTAGTTTGCGTGATCCACATATTTTAGATGCATTAACATTAAACATTCAAATACATGGCTCTTTTACTAACATGAAAGAAAAGGTTCATAATATTGCTTTAATATATCGTGTTCATTATAAATGCATGCACACTAATTTAAATGTTCATGCTTTACACAAAAGCCCCAAAGATAAAACTCTATTAATCCAAAGCAGTAGTAATAATAAATCACACATTAATGTTCCTCAAATGATTGAATGGAAAAATATTGATCTACCTGATTAGTGGGTTACTGTCAATGAAAATTACAAACATAATCAACAGCAATCTTCAATCCAAGATATTCAAAATATCCAACAATATAATGATGGTTCAGTTAGCATTAAGTTTAATCGAAGCCAGTCTTCTAGACATAGTACATCTAGTGTCCCTTCTGAAATAGCAACTGAAGATGAAATATTTAATACTCCTTTATTCCGGAAGAATAGCCAAATACATCTTGGTCCAACCAATCAAACTTCCAAACATAAACTAAAAGGAATTGACAATTCTACTACATCCCAGGTCAGTGAACCTGTTTATACTACGACTACACATTTCCCTGAAGAAGAAATAGCCTCAAATAATTCCCCAACTCAAACTGATTTTGAAGAATTGATACCACCTGTGAATCCCCAGTTAATGACAATTAAAAAGAATTTTCAACCTGATTTAGATAAATTACTTATTGAATTTAGATCTAAAGACAACAGAACTAAACGACATGCTTACCGTGCTAAATATAATTCTGCTCAGCAATCCCGAATAACTAGAGAATGGTATGATTTTATGGTTCAATATGGTTTTGAATTACCCTTCTTTGATTATATGGATCAATATTACAAAAAGATTAATACAATCACCAAACATAAATGAAAAACTTCTCCTAATACTTCTGTTAGCTCCAATCATCCTCCATTGGCAACTATAATTATTGATCATCAGGGTTCTGAAGTTCCAGCCTCTCCTTTTAAATTACCTGGTACTGATTCTGAAATGAAAAAGGTTATTGAACAAAATAATTATACTAATCAATGTTTAACAACAATTGGTAAACAATTAGATAAACTAGAAATTAATTTAGAAGAACAACAATCTGCTAAATCTACTAAAACCTTAGATCAACCTTTACTAAATCTTCCCAGTCACCGTTCGAAACGAACCAGCCTAGTTACTAATGATCAATCTATTGTCAAAGCTATTGAACAATTATTTACTAAATTAACTCCCAATGATACTTCTACATCCAAAGATAAATGTCTTACTGTTTTAAATCAACAACCTCTTACCAACACTATTTCTGATCACTCCGCAACTGACACTACTGATAATGAAATAGATCAATTGGCCCAACAGTTTCAACCTTCTAATCTTAATAAAATTCATTATCCCAAAGTTAATCCTCAAACTACTAAAAATTGGTATTCTCGACCTACTCCACCTGACCTCCAATTTGAAGAAACTAATATTAGTAATCAATTTTCTGTTTCTGCTAAAAGATTATATGAATGGAATATTGATGGTCAGAGTGAAGATCAAATCCTGCAAAAATTAAATCATTTATCCATGGTGGCAAATAGTTATCTTAGTAATTATCCTCAATATTCTCAACCTGAAATTGTTTCCTTACTCACCTCTGGTTTTACTGGTATGCTCAAATCTTGGTGGGAAAAATACCTTACTGAAGAACAACGTGATACAATCATCTATGCTAATCAAACTGATGAAAATGGTCTACCCATCTTTGATGAATCTATAGGATGTTGTCACCCTGATGGTATTAATCAATTAATCTATACCATAGTTCGACATTTTATTGGTACCCCTACCAATATATATTCTCGCATACATGATCAACTTAGTAATCTTAACTGTCCAACCTTAAGTGATTTTAGGTGGTATAAAGATGTATTTACCTCTCGAGTCATGTTAAGAGACGACTGTACTAAACCCTTCTGGAAAGAGAAATTTATTAATGGATTACCTAGCTTATTTGCTCACAAAATTAGAGATGTTCTTAGTCAACCTACTGGTATTATTGAATATGATAATTTAACATATGGTGATATAATTAGCACTATACAAAAAGAAGGTTTAAAAATGTGTATTGATCTTAAACTTACTCAGAAAGCTAATAAAGATAAACATAAAGCTAAATATGAATTAGGCAATTTCTGTGAACAATATGGTTTACCTCCTGTTGCACCCTCTCGTAAGAAATCACACAAATACTCCAAACATAAATCATCATACAAACATTCCAATAAATATAAATATAAGACGAACTATACCCCTTCTAAATCCAATGATAAATTTTATACTAAACCCAAAAAGAAATATTATAAATCCAAATCCCATCCCAAATCTAAATCAACTAAAGATGTTACTTGTTATAATTGTGGACAAAAAGGACATTATTCAAATAAATGTAAAGACAAACAAAAATTAAAAGACAAAGTTAATCAACTCAGAAAAACAAAAATTAAAAGATAGAGTCAATCAACTCCAAATTGATGATAACTCCAAAAATCAGTTATATGAAATTTTCCAATTAAATCAACCTGCTAGTAGTTCTTCCTCTTCTGATCAACCCGATACTTCATCCGATTACCATTCACCAAGCAGTGATTCTGATAACAATATTACTATTGGCTGTAATGATGTTTGTTGCAAACCTGTTAAACAACTAACTGTTCTCACCAAAAGTACTCAAGAAGAATCTGCTCTAATCGACCTAATTAGTAAATTAGATGATCCAAAGTTAAAACAAAAATATACTGACAAGTTAAAATCTTTATTAATCCATTCAGATTCCAAACCAAAGTTTGATAAACCAATAATCAGTCTATCCAAAACTTTAGAAAGGTTTAAAACTAAACAAAAAGAAGCAACATTACAAGATTTACAACAAGAAATCAATCAAATTAAACAAACAATCAAAGAATTACAACATAAAGATAAAAAACTAGAAGATGAAATTATTACTTTAAAAATTAATCAAAGCTTAGATAATTTCCAACCTAATAATCAAGAATCTCTACATGAATCTGAACATGATTCTGATCCTAATCCAGATAATCTAATCTTTGATAATAAATCACACCACTCTCAACCCAACAATCCTGAAGAAAAACGATTAAGTCTAATTAATAAACTTTATATTCAAAAATAGTATTCTAAAATTAAAATAATTATCAATGACTTTGAATTAGAATTAATTGCTTTAATTGATACTGGTGTTGATTTAAATTGTATACAAGAAGGTTTACTTCCTACTACATATTATGAAAAATGTCAAGAAAAATTAACTTCTGCTAATGGTACTAAAATGCATATCAAATATAAATTACCGAAAGTACATGTTTGCCAAGATAATGTATGTTTCAAAACCTCTTTTGTTCTAGTCACAAATATGACTGACAAAATTATTTTAGGATCTCCATTTATATATTTATTATATCCTTTTACTACCTCAAGTACTGGCATAACTACACATGTTTTAGGTCAACCTGTTACTTTTAACTTTTTATCTCCTCCTGAACTATTACACTTAAATCAATTACAAGATTGTTCTATTTCTCATACAATAAATCGTTTAACTCGACATTTACGATTTCTTAAAGAAGAGATAAATCATAAACGCATTGACCAACAATTGACTGATCCAATTCTTATTTCTCAAATCAATGATTTCAAATTAAAACTTGAATCTACTGTTTGTTCTACTTTACCTACTGCATTTTGGCATAGGAAAAAACATGTAGTTACTTTACCTTATATTAAGAATTTTAATGAAAAGCAAATCCCTACTAAATCTCGCCCTATCCAAATGAATCATGAATTACTTGAAATGTGTAAAAAAGAGATTAATGAATTATTACGAACTCGAATTATTAGTCCTAGTAAATCACCTTGGTCTTGTTCTGCTTTTTATGTTAACAAGAATGCTGAATTAGAACGTGGTGTCCCTCGTTTGGTTATCAATTATAAACCTTTAAATGATGTTCTAGAATGGATTAGGTATCCTATTCCTAATAAAAAAGATTTAATTAAACGACTCAGTCAAGCTGTTATTTTCAGTAAATTCGATTTAAAAAGTGGTTTTTGGCAAATTCAAATTCATCCGAAAGATAGATATAAAACTGCATTTAATACACCCTTTGGCCAATATGAATGGAATGTCATGCCATTTGGTTTAAAAAATGCTCCTAGTGAATTTCAAAATATCATGAATGATATGTTCAACCCATTTACTCATTTTTCAATTGTTTATATTGATGACATCTTAATATTTTCCAAATCAATCAGTGAACATTGGAAACATTTAACTGCATTCTTTTACACAATTAAAAGTCATGGTCTTGTTATTTCTGCTCCTAAAATTAAATTATTTCAAACTAAAGTTCGCTTTTTAGGATATGATATTCATCATAATACTATCCTACCCATTAGTCGATCCATTGAATTTGCATCCAAATTTCCTGATGAAATTCTTGATAAAACTCAATTACAAAGGTTCTTAGGTTCTCTCAATTACATTGCTGAATTTTATAA